GATACTGCACACATTTCAATGAGTTCAAAACAGAGTGCTGTATTGCTATCAGGTGAAAGACAACAGCGGAAGGTCACCAGACTGCATCAGAATTCAAGGATACAAACTCCTACAGAGTACAATAAATGGTGTAACACAGTTCTGTGAGTGCCTGGGTAGTGTTTGTCTCTACGCAGAGAGAGGCAATAGTGGTCCAGGACCTAATTTGTATAACAAGCTATTTAAGAGGGAAGTATATAAATCCTGAAGAGTATCCCATCAAGCCAAAATACTATTATTAGCCCAACCTAGATGAGGTTATAGAAGTGCATTAGAAAACCTCTGTAAAAAAATTAGTAGGAAACTTTTCACACTTCAAGATCCCATGAGACAAATTCTCTCAAGCAATGATTAGATATTATCCAGAAAGAATACTAAAAATGGATGTCGAGAAGGAAGGTAGAAAAAGCACAAGTTCACCCAAATGGATCACAACGTGTTACTAACGTTCACTGTCAGTATGTTTCAGAGATAAGAGATCATAGCCAACTAACAGACCGGCAGCTGAAAGTAAAATTAAACTATAATTCTGCAAGAATTTTTTTTTTTTTAATTAATACTACTTATGTAAAAGGTTGATGTAAAGTTAACTGACCCAGAAGCATTTTCAGCAGTGTCCTCTGATAAACTCTGGTCTCATTCTTCCATTACCTTTCCTAAGCATATTGAATTTTCCCCTCTGACAGCTTTTACTAATCCTGCAGAAATAGCATTTATGGGCATTTCCACCCTTGTGATATGATCGGAGTGCAAGGGCATACCTCAGTTTCCGTTCCAGCCATCACAATGCATGAGGAGTATGTGGATATGGACAGAAAGCCACAGCTGAGAAACTAAAAGCAACAAGGTAAAAAATCCAACCAACCCAACCAACCAAAAAGAAAAAAAAAAAACAGAGAAAGGAAAAGGAAGAAGGAAAAAGGAAGAATGAAAAGTGTGTGCAGTGAAGAAAGGAGACTGAGGTGAAGCAGGGGGAGGGAAACACCAACGAACACCACACACTATTTCTGACCCTGGAAATTAAGTCCATAACCCTGGAAAGAAACAGGTAGTGTAACTTTGTGCCCATACAACACCCACTTCACTTCAAAGAATCAATACCTTAGGAAAAAAAGCACAATCAAGTTACACAGAGAGACAACAGCTTTAACGTAGTAGTTTACACTGCATGCCCTACAGACTACATCTACTTTAAAGGTCTTCCTTCTGTAATTTTTAAGCTCAAGCCTCATTTGGAAAAGAAAAACACATCTTACCGAAGGATCTCTTGGGTCAACTTCTCTAAAGACAGATTTAGGGCTAGCTGAACATACTCCTTGACAAGAGTTTTGCATTTCTTTGAAAGATAATCCTTTGTGCCACACTGCTGCTTGGAACAAGACTTTCACCATTCCCTGTTTGCATGCTGAGAGCAAGTGGAAGTACTTCCTTGCTCTGTTCAGAGTGTAGTACCATTTACTTCCAGCTCAAGCAATATGAATATATACCTGTATTTTACTAAAATGAAAAAATGCCGCTAGATAACATATTAAGACAAATCTAGGAGACTATTCAAATACGAAGCGCCAGGTAGGCAGCATTCCTCTACTAAGGCAGTGTCTGAATACAAGTGTTACATTACAGGTGCACTCTGTACCTACACTGTGGAGACTCTGTAAAAGCAGTTCAACATTCCATTATCTTTTTGGCCATATTTTGTCTCATTTTTTGTGGTAAGAGTAGAAACCCACAGGAAAGCATTCTTCCAGCATCCTGTTTGCATGTGAAGTTGTGGTGAAACAGGATGAAAAAGCCACTATGCTTCATGTCTAGTTTGTAGTCTATCGTCTCCTTTTCTTGAAAGAATGGCTTGCTTCCCTCTTCAGGTTTTTGGGGTTTTTTTAGTTTTTTTTAGATTGCTCTTCAGAGTACAGTATAAACTCTATTAAACACTCTCTGAGAAGCAGGTAATGGGTAGTTAGGCTAACACAGCAACCTTCATGCAGCCCCGTGCAGAAACTAGACTAATTTCAGGTCTACAGAAATCAAGTACTGTCTTTGCTAACTTTGTCTTAAAGCCTATTGCCTTTGCATAGGTCTTGAAGAACTAAAGGACACATACAGAATTATCAGCAATATTTCTCCTTCACCCCTTTCCTGTGAGTAAATAATTTAAATCCTTTACCTCTGACAGTAAGTTTTATCAGCGTGCCTCCATCTATTTTAACAGTGCATCACCGGCAGTGCTATTCTGCAGAACATCTTCCCACAGAAAGCTCATGTATAAAGTCAAGGGAAAGGCCAGTCTCCATTTTCAGCATAAAGCAGTCATTTACTTAAAGAAAATCCAGGAAACCCAATTCAACTATACCTCATGGGAAGTATGAGATTATTGGACTAAGGTCACAAGAAGTATTTCTTCTCTTAAGGGCAGATTATTTTTGACATTAAGCAGCTATAAATATATTTGAGAAAGAAAAAAGGTTCTGTTGAAGATTATCTTTTTCTGTTTGTAACTCAGAGTGAATTCATAAATCTTGGCTGGGCTTTTAATTCACTGGAAAGCATATGTATATATAATACAATCCAGTCCTTACACGGAACTTGGCCAGCCAACATCCTTAAAAAGAAAAAAATCACACACACAAAATGCTAAATCGCAAATAACTCTTTAAAAATGCAAGTGATATTGTCCCCTTAGATTGCCTCATTAAGAATGAGGTTAGATTGCAATCATTTGCCATCTTCATTTATTCTGCATAAATAATGAAGTTATTCAGCTTAGGAATAGCAATCTTACCTTTGCAGAAGACATAATCTGGACATTTTTAATGTGACCAAAAAAAAGAAAAAACCAATACCAATTTGATTTCCATGTCACTACACCAATAAAAAGATAAGCAAGCTGACTTACAGGGAAAGGTAGAGGGCAATGTCCAATATTCATTAAACTAAACAGGCCAGTGATTCAGTAGGTTCAGGCACTGACATTTTTAATACTGATAAAAATAATTTTATGTAAGGCTGAATGCCAGAGACTTGATTTACTTCAAACGAGTCCTTACAATTTTGGTGTGGTCCACTAGAGCACAGTAGTTACACAGAACATTTATTTATAGTTATTCCTACTAACATGGTGTTATCACAAAAAAGCTTTGATTTATATCCATAGCATAAAGATGAAAAACATAGAGCAATGGAAACATGCTAAGCAAGACTGTTATTCTTAGTTACTCTCTGTTAATATTCTTGTCCACAGTGTACGTAATCTTGTTCTCAGGAAGCTCGTAAAGGCACAGCAGCGGCAGCAGCTGCATGCACGTATACCTTCTGACGTTCAGTATGCTGTACAATAGCAAGTTTCGACACTGATTAACAACACTGTTGAAATGCAGTGAAACTTAAGTGTGCTTAAGTTTCTAGTTTAAGTTAACCAGCCAAAAACCATCCTCAAACTGAAAAACGGTTGCCTGTTATTTCACTTGCCTACAGATATACAAGTTAACACTAAAACATTTGGCAAGTTACATTGACTATTATAAAAACTGAAACCCCAGCACTAATTTCAATCTAAAACTGCTTTTAAATCTGAAACCCTCCACAAAAAAACAAAATCCCCAAAACCTGACAGTATCACAATCCAAACAGTCATGAGCATTCAGTATGGACATTTTCAGATTTCAAGTTTCTCTAGGTTTTCCTGATCAGTATGGTGTGCTAAGCGTTATCGTCTTTGAAAAATGTAAGGAAGCAAAGTACTCTGAACGCAGGGAAACAAGAGTTTGGAGATGAAGCAAATTTATTGTTCCAAATGTTGAAGTTAGGGAGTATTTTAAATCAACAGACACACACTATTGTAACATGATATATATATATATCTATATATATCTATCTACCTATCTATCATAGAGCCTTGTAGGTAACCCACGGTTTAGAAAATAAAAGATGCCCGTGCATAAAGGGCAGGCAGAGAACAGCATCACTGAGGTACTAGTCCCATTTCTTTCAGGCAAATTACTGCATAGATATCTAAGGTTAAGGAGTTCTGACATTTTTCCGAACAGCTTTTACAGTATCATAAGATAACATAATGAAAATACATTGTATTTCAAACCGAAGAGCAGCATATTAGACATGCACTGGTAGAAAACATCCTGTGTGCAATCTGAGATGTTAAAAAGTACCATACACAACTTGGATGTTTATCTAAAAGCATACCAAAGCATACCAATTTAATTTGACTTCATTTTTGTGGAAAAAAGTCTACGTGGTCTTATTCATAAAAATGGAATTCTCAACATTCAGCTGTGGTGGGTATAACATGAACATACACAGTCTTCATGTTCAAGTTCTTCATGGAGATGTCCTTTGTGATCTCTGAACCAAAGAAACGAGAGAAACAGAACACAGTTAGTGCTGTTGCTTTCAAATAAAACTATCAACACCTTTTTTTTTCCCCCCCCTTTATTCAGACAGTTCTACTGGTTCAATCAAAATGGGACTTGGACAGAAACTGCTCAGCTCGAAATTCCCTCTTGTTAAAGCCCAGTGCATTAAAGAAAGGATCACCGCGCATCAGGACTACCACCGCAAGAGCTGAAGATGCTGTTCTAGGTTACAAAGTAGAATTTTTTGAAAGCCTGCGTCAGCCCACACCTCCCAGCTTCACATCCACACAGAATAATACCTAGTTCAGAAAATTATTTTATAATGCAATGAAGACAATATTAACAATGCAACACAATGCACTGAAAACCAGAGCCCCTTATAAACATCATGTAAGAATGGCCATACAGAGATCCATCTCCTCTAGTATCCCATCTCTTACAGAAGACAAAACAACGTACGTGTGAAGGAGTACAAGAATAAGAACATGCATACATTAACTTGAGTTCTATACGTAAAGCAAGGATTGTAGTAGCATCTGCTGAAAAACTGATGTTGCAGTCTTGTTGAGTATGCCTAAAGAATTTCATACCATACCAGATCAATTCCTTATGTCTCTTCATAGCTATATGCACATAGCCTGGAACAGTAATAGGGTAAAGTCTCACCAACAAACCTCTTTTAAGGATACAGTGTATTTCCAACAGGCTGATTCAGGGTTTATAATTATTTATGAAACACAAACAGAGTAATCGCACTTTGTGGCTACAGAAAGTAGCCTACCAAAGCCTGCAAAGTTGGTAGGAACTGGAAATCTCTTTCACTATTCTTGCCACCTTACAGAGCATTTTTCCCAAGAGGTTAGATGCTTGCTAGCTCAATGCTTCCCAGCACCCATCAGCTGTAGCAAACTACCCCAATAACAGAGCAGATAGTTGTCAATACTGGGGGGTACAGCTTTGGAACAAAAGTAATCTGAATAACAAACATACCCGAGGTCTCTCTACTAAGAAACTTCAAAGTGGTAACCACAAACATATCCACTAAAACCACAGCAAAAGCGTATCAGGGGGTTACGGTGTTAGCCTGCACACTACAATCCCTATAGACAACACAAGCAAATAAAGATAATTTTAAATTTTGGCACTAGTGTTAGCACAAATGACAGATTAATAACAGTCAGAATGGCTGTTTTTTCAGTAGAGACAATTTTGTAGTGTACTGCACTGTGTCACAGGACTGACGTCTGATATTCAGGCTGCTCTCACTTGGGCTCACCTCCAGCTGACAGCAACCAAGGCACTGCCTGTGTGCTGGGGGGAGGCAAGTCTGTGCAGTGCATCCATGGAGAGAACGTAAAAGCAGTTTAGTTTTCAGTAACATGATGTCCAAGTGAAAACTGATTCTAGAAATGGCAGCAAGGCATTTTGTTTCCGTGTAACAGTATGCACGCTCCTTCTAGCATTAAGGCCCCCATCTTTCTTTGGAAAATATTTCATTTTTAGACTGAGCAGATATAGTCTGCATCGGAGTTTAAAAGCCATCTATTAATTAAAGAATTAAGAAGCCCTTATGGATCATGATGGTACCATTTTTAAGGAGCTCTCTTCCAGTGTAGTGCTCTGCTTTAAGCAGCTGAATACCCATCTACAGAGCTAAAAGAGTGGAGGTATAATCCAATTCAGCAATTAGGGCTTTATTCCCTCATTAACCTTCCTTCCCGCCCCAGGAAAACGTTACATCAGTATATAAAAAAGTTATTTTGGTCTGCAGAAGCAGCCAAACAAACTACGAACTTGGTCTCAAAGTCTTTTTTTAATCATTTGTTTTTAAAACCCTGAAAAATTAGAAACTACATGAAGCTACTATTTTCAACAGTATTTAACACAGTAATTACTTTCAGAAATTGGAAACTTGATTTATCAACAAAATGTAAGGACATCCCCCTTTCTGTGGCAATTCCTCCACAGGAAGGCTTTGCAGTTCGCACGTGAAGAAGTATTGCCTTCCTCCCGAGTGCGTCTCTGAATCAGCTACCTGTAACATGTGTTTCAATCTCATGAATAAGCAACACTCACCACTTTGACATTTATTGATAGAATGTTTTTCCAATATCCAAAGGGGGGTGAAAACCACATTTGTTTCTGAAAAGTTGGCAAGCTTTTGTGCAACAGACAGCAGATGCCCAACTGCCCGTACCTGACAACATTTATAAAAATAATGATTTCAGAACCGATAACTCATTTTCCACCAAGTGATGCTTTTTTTTCTTTTTATAAAACAGGCATCAACCTTCCAATTCGTGGGTTATTTTCATCAAACTTTTCAAATTGTTACCAGCAAATAATCTGTTATTTTTAGAATAAACCATAAAAAACCTACTTAAGAGACTGAATTTTTTTTGTTTTGAAGGTAGGACCTTGAAATGTATTGATAAAAAGATGAATAGGGGATTACAAAGTTGCAACAATACACATAACCATTAATTGAACTAATTTCCAGAGGCACCAAAATACTTGTTTTATATGCAGCACTTATTTATCATATAAAGAGAGCTGAAGATAAAGTACAACCATTTCAGTGTTTACACCATAAAAAAAAAAGGTACTAAAAGAGCTGCGTGGTGAGAATTAAATCTGAGATGGCAGAAGCACAGCTGTATGGCAGAAGCACAGCTGTATGGCAGAAGCACAGCTGTATGGCAGAAGCATGTGTTAGCTACACAAGTAAACCTCCAGGACCAAGTTGTCTCCATTCTGAGTCTCAAAAAGACCACATCAGTTCTTTTAGCCTTTGAAGAGTTATCAAATCTGATCTTTCACATCATCGTGACTTGTCACTTTATACACTTTATTTAAATAGTTCTGGAGAATTCATTCTACGAATAGGTTATAGTGATTTCCCTTTTAGGTAAAGGCATTTTAAAAATCCTGACTTAAATTGAGACTTAAAGGCTATAAATTTTCCTGTTTTGTCAGTTACTTCCCTCTTTCAAAGCTCAAAAGTTTTCTACAATAGTTATTTTAGTATCTTAACTAAGTCATACGCTGCTGTGAACCCTTTTTCCCTGTAACAGTGATAGAAACCAAAAAAGAAATACATGTAACATCAACTGCTCCTGAATGGCTAAACTCCTAGTCAGCAAGGTTTCGCACATAAATAGATTTTTTGTTTATGCAAATGAAGTGTGGTTGATATACTTGGTTCTTACACCTTGGGCTGTTTCTGAACACGCCAGGTCTCCAGTTCTCTGGTCTGTTAACACCATTCAGCACATTATTTTTAGCATTAGCTCAAACTATCACTAGAAAGTCTCATCAACATTTGAGATCCATTTTACTTACAAAAATGGCTTTTGAATAAACAGAGTTCAGGTGACATGAAAATAAAAAAAAAACCCCAACCAAAAATCCACAACAAAAGAACCCACACCTTACTTGCTCCAATTCTAATCTATCCTACCGGAATCCCTCAACCCAGGTGGATAGCTAACTGACCCCAGTTTTAGCCAGCTACACTAGAGAGCTACACTCCTCCTCCCCTCATCAGCTGGCAGGCACCTTCCGAGGAAATTCATCCCACCCTAGGATTAGATAACTACTTTAAACAAGATGTCTAACTTCTGGACAGGTAACCTAACATGTGGTAAGTTAAGTGTCATGTATCCTTCCCAAAGCGCTTGTAAATCATGCCATTATGATAAACTGGAGACAGAATCCTTTACATCATTTCATTCGAAGAGTTGAATTTTCCTGAATACACAGAAATATCCGGGTTTTTACCACATAGTTTCCAGTCCATTCTTCCTGTCAAATAAAGTCCCAAATCTTTGTCAGGTCCAACTTTTTAGCACTACAGGTGGCTACATCCTTAGTCTTACCTTTCTCATGAATCAGAAATTTTGTTTCTAAGCCTCACCATCTGTCTGTGGTTTTGGAAGATTCTTTAACATTTCAGATGCGCGACTATGTGGTGAAGCTTCCTACTTCCCAGGTATTCTGAATGAATTGCAGCTGCCGTACCCTACCAAATCTGACCTACTCTCACAACTCTAAAATAGATCCGATACTCTTTTCCACCCACTCCCATTCTCCAAAAGGAAGGAAAAAAAAATAGTATCTGCAACAATGTAAATGTTACAGGAACAATTTGAACAGGTTCTTAAAATATTCACACTTCAGACTCACTTCTAGGAGGAGATTCACTCTCTCTGCTTAGTCACCGCAGCCTGTAACTACCATTTACATTGCTGACTGACCTTTCTATTGCAAAAGGAAGAAACTTTTACAGAACTGGTCTTAGCCATTTCATGAAGGGAATGCATTAGAGCTTTGAATTCCTAAATGTATATGCGTGCTTAAAGGATTTTATTAAATAAATATTGAATTACTGGGCAAAATTAGAAACCAATGTGTAAATAGTGTGCATTTAGTAATTAAACTAGATCTCAGGCTACATTAGCTGCTCCTCAACAAAAACTTCCAAGTATCCCTGGACAAGCAAACCAGAAGTTTGTGCTTACCCTGAGTTTGCGCTTCATCCAGGAACAATTTTAGCCTCCTGCTTCTGAGCCCAAAAACTTTTGCTGTTTCATGTAGAAGACCTCGGTACGTTAATCCATTCTGACCAACAGGGTTTTCCATTAGAAGAGTTCCCACTGTTCCTCTCTGACATTCTGAACAAGATAAACAGTTGAATCACTATTGGTGAGGAATGATACTGTTTCATTTATCTTGGCAGACTGAAATTTAGGATTTCTTCTTCCATTTCATCTCTATTTCTTCATAGTGCTGAGTAATTACCAATACCAACCTACTTACAGGTATTCACTAAATAAGTTCATCAATTATAGAATCAGCAGTACAAGTGGTTATTAACAGCTTGACAAACAAAAGAAAACTTTGCAGAATTCTTTATGTGGGTCAACAGGATAACCTAGAGACTGGAAAACATGAAATATTTCAACAGGACACATAAGCCACTAAGAACTACAGAAACGCACAAAGAACCTTCTAATGATCAAATCCCCAGTTAAAAACACATTTTTGGCCCAAGTAGGTTCCCAGTAGTGTCAGTAAGATTCCACATGGGTAGTCCAGAAAGGACTCATACCAGGGCAGAGATTAAGAGCAAGTTACTAACAATATAGCTGTTCCAACGTGAGGTTTCAGAGTAGAGGTTACAAGATTAGCAGCTGTAAAACAGAATTATGTACACATATCTATCCTCCAGATCAGGTTAATAACAATTCATTTGGCTTTTAAACAGCACTAAGAAATGTTTCACAGGCTGTTTACAATGTCTTGGTAAAGAGCTGGCTCCTCCTTCATTTTTGGTCAGTTTTAGACTCAGCCTTTTAAAATAAGCTGCACAGGTGAGCTGATGGTCAGAAATAGGAAAACAATGCTGAAGGCTCATGTTTAAATGCTGTCCCTTATCTCAAACTGGCTCTCCTTTTTCTTTCATGAAAAGAGGGAGAAAAGCTAAATATAAACATTGCATTTGTTAGAAAGCAAATACTAGGAAAAAATAAACAGAATCACCATGTACCAATGAAAACATATGTACTTATCTTCATCAGTAAGCAATGGTGTCCAAAACCTGTATCACAAAAAGCTCAGCCTGTAAATGAGGAGAGATCAGCATCCTATATACCTTGTGGTTTTGCATTCATTAACTGCAAGTTGATATACTGGCAGAGCAGAGCATCAGGAGAGTTGATCAGAGCAGGTGCTGACCCTGTTGTCACATGCAGAGTCTTTCCGCTGAGACTAAGCAAGTCAGTTTTGTTTATCAGTTCTGAAAAAGAAAATGAGACCAGTCAGGCCATTACAGGGAAGCCGAGGTCCAGCTCTCACTGGATTAGCTGACAATGAGTCTGTCTAACTACCGATTCCACCATGGAAGCGTTTCCCTCTTCACAATCCTTCCTCAAGAAAGAGCTTTCCTCCATTTTGAAAAATGGAATTTGTGCAGAAATACTCTGTTTTCTTAACAACAGAGTACTTGGTCTGCTGTGGAAATTAGCTCCTACATAACACTTCTTATGCACATAAATGTACAATATGATGACTTATGCAATAAAAATAGTTAACTAACTTAAAACAAGCAAGAAATTATTCACTTAAGCCAACCATTTCTACCTTATTAAATTCAGACCTATGCTCTTTGCCTGTACCCTGACTTCCCTAGCTGAAGCAGCACTGGGTATGTGTTACTATGGAACATCAGGACATTTCCCTCATTAAACTCCAGATGACAATAAATGTAAAATCAGAGGCTGGTTAGCTCATGAATAATGCCCTCAGCATTAATATTTGTGTTTAATGTCAACAACAGCCGATGATTCAGCAGATGATTCCAGCCATGCATATTTAGAAAATGGTGGAATTATTGGATCAGACCCAAAATAGGCCTTATGTCTCAAAGGATTTTAGAAGTAACACCAGCACCCTGAAAGCACTTGCATGAGAAGCTAATGAGGTTTCTGTAATACAAATGAGATAGGTAGGGCTGCATTCTGCACTACCTACATGAGCCTGTCTATCACAGAGGTTAAAAAAAAAAAGAAAGCTGCTGATAGCCACAACATTAAAGATACAGAGAAATCACATCACTGTCTGCTACAAAGCTTTTGCAGCTACAAAAGAACTCCAAAGACCAAATCCAGGAAGAATTAATAAATTTAATTTCTTGTAAGAGTTGTGCATTGCCTGTCCATACGGAATAGGCATATCTGTCATCTCTTTCCAACAGCGTTTTCATTCCATATCAGCCTTATTCGTATGTCACAGAACCTAAGCTTTACAAAGCTTATTTTCCATCATTTCATCTGAATGAATTTCAAAGGGGCAGAAGTGGCACTCCTTTTTCCAGGGACGTTTATAAACTTAAAAATCCAACAAACAAACAAAAAAATCAACCCAATCCCCCCCGCTCCCCAACCAAAACCCCAAAAACCCCAAAAAACCAAAACCAAACCCCCCAAAAGGTTAAAAGTGATCACAGGCTACAAGCTCTCAAAATTTTGCCAACTGCCACAGAACATCGAAGCACGATGCACTGTGGAAGGCTTATGAGACTGCCCTGAGGAAGGATGAAGACCTCAGACAGCATCTAAGATTCTAAAATAAAATATCTTTTGAAAAATCAACAAATCAAATTTTATATATATTTAAAAAAAGGCAAAACTTCATTGCTGCTTCTAAAATCCAGTTCTCAAGAATGAAATTTTACGATGATGGTGGCCATCCGCCAGCTACCCAAACACTTCTTTGGTGTGTTTGAGGTGCAAGGCACATGCTCAAGCACACTCAAGGAGGCGGCTTTGCTTTTGGTTTGGAAAGCAAGACAACAACTAAATTAACAAGTGGAGAGGAATTAACAAGATTTCATTGTACAGAAAGGGAGTCAGCAGCAGGTTTTTCCTAGTGTAACCGTAAAGCAGCATTGCTTGCCATTTACATACAGTTCATGGGTCATGGGTAGGAGACAGCACCAGCGAGCAGGGTGCTTTACAGAGCACGAAACACACGGCTCGAGTAACTTTGAGTTTGACACTACCCAGCTGCCAGGATCTCTGCAGATCTACGCAGGGCAACAGGGCGTGAGCCATAGCAATGGTGATTTGCGTATTTAACAAATCCAGCATTTTGCATTACAGGACCGCTGACATTTTCACAAGGAAGAGCTCATGTACAGTGCTGTCAATGAAGTCAGTTCATATAACCCTCTAATAAGAGCAAGAAAAAGAAAAAGTGGATCTTTTTTTAATATATAACAATACACTTGAAAATAAGCAGCTATTACAAGTGCTCATCAATATTAAAATCACTTTTAAAGTCAGTTCTCCCTGCAGCTGAGATTTAAGTGGTAATGCTCTCCTAAGGTACCTTACAGCCTCATGGCCTTTTAAAAATTAAAGATTAAAAAAAAAAGTCTTTTTGTTCTCTTGTTCACAAAACAGTGCTAAGAATAGAATTTAAAAAAAAAAGCCATCTGAAAATCACAAAGATGAAATAAGACAAGGACTAAGAAGGTTGTAGGGGGATTTTTGCCTCACCTTCCCTTTCCCCCCTTTTTTAAGCCCTACGTGATTTACAGCTTCATTTATTCCCATAAACAAACTTAAATTTTTAAAAATAAAATTTCAAATAATTTTTTAAATATATTTTTTTTCAGTATGGGCTACTTCCATGAAAGCCGAGTGCAAGTCAAAAAACATTCCCAATACGAAGTTTGGGAAGTTTTCAGCTTTTCAGCAATCTAGAGCAAAAAGAAAGTCACAGACAACTGGTTTTACCATCTGACTTGAGCGCAGCCTCTTTCCTTAAAATGATTCCTTTTTTTTTAATGTAAAAAGAGACAAATTCTATTCTCAGTTTCTGAAGGTCAGTACAAATCCCAGAGCCATGCTCAGTGTTTGTGCAGTTACTCAAAATACATTGATCCACTGTCGGGGAGGAAATGTTTATCCCATTATTTCAATGTTGCACTGAAAAACAGGGACATGACATATTTCAGCCTGCATTAATACAAGAACTGCCTGATTTTGTGCCATTACGCAACCCTAAGTAAATCTTCATTACAATTAGAAAACAAGATAATAAATTACTGCAAGTAAAGTGGACAGCCCTAAAAACCACAGGAAGGAAAATAAGGAGCCAGAAATACGGTTTTACTGGGTCACAATTTTATTAACACACATGGGAACAATTCAGCAACAATTTGTCTGGAGTGCACAACCTTTCTTTGCAATGCCTCTCAGATAGAGTGGCTGATACCAACCCCCTGCCTTACCTAAAGAGACCCTGGAATCACCATTAGGCCTCACCTGACATTACCCATGCAAAGGTTGGGCAGATAAATCAAAAGGATTGCATCCAAACCAAACATCAGGAATTTCGGTTCTATTCTCTAACATCTTTAAGAGCTATTTTCTTCGTACATACCTTTAACCCTCACTCCTCAGGGAGCCCTATCTTCTGCTGATCAATACTTATTCGAGATCTCTGCCAAATTGCAACAAAAGTGAATTTGATAATCTAATCTTTCCAAGGGAATTTTCATGTTGTCAGTAAGTGGGCAAGGAAAAAAACCCGCTCTGCCCAGACTACTTACAAAGAATGAAAGTTTAAAATCAGCACGCCAAGATGGAAAGTCTCAAAATGATACCTACACAGCAAGAAGGAAAGCCACATGGAAAGAAATAAAGCCTTTGTTACTACTGCAGAAAAGAACCTTTGATGAAGAGGGAAGGTTTAGATTTTCTTTACCACTTCTTTTAGGAATTCAGCATTAGTAGATTGATGCCGCATCCTTTTGTCCTGTTAGTGGCAGAAATCAAACCAACTAAGGAGTCAAACTGCTTATAATCTTAACGAGATGAGAGTTTCCCAACTCTTCTTGGCCTTTTCCAGATCATCTCTTAATAATTGTACTGAATGAATTGTACTAGTACATACCCACCTCTGTAGGCACATACCACACTGCTATGAAGTGTACCACCAATAGGTGGAAAATGATTGCAAGGAAAACTATCTCCCCCTTTAAAACATAACTGAAACTTGAGGAAAGTACTGAGGGATCCAGAATTTCCTATAAATCATTTATAACTGAAAGCACAGAACAATCATTTTGTATGATAGAACTATTCAGTTCAGCTGAGCACAACTTGGAAAGAGGGTTTATCACAGTAAGGTAAGTGCATTACATCCGATACGAAAAAACCCAGAACATTCTTCTAGAAATACTTACAGGAAAAGACAAGTAAGAAAAAAGATCAAGATGGTAACAGTGACATTACAGATTCAAGTAAGACTATTCCCCTTCTGATGTCACAGGTAGACACGAACTGGTGATCCTTAGCAGTCCTATGGGCACCCCGAAACAGCCTTTCACAACAGCCAATTAAAGGATCTCCCTCTCAGATGTTGCTTCAGTAATATTTCTATAAAAACACACTAGCAGAAGTTTCTGTAACCGTCCAATTACCATTTTTGCAGTATTTTATCATTTCTGTGTCACTCCTTTTAGACTTAATATGAATAGTATGGAAACACACAAAGTCTGAACTTCAGGATGTGCCTGTGAACAACCCTAAGAACACAAAGCTTACTATCGCTGCTCAAACGTCTCTAAAGTCACGTCATGGCATGGCCGCAACAAGTACCCTACTCTCTGTATCCATTCACTAAAGTGTTTGGTAACTAGTGCAATCTTGCTCTCAGTGTGCCGATTTTTAAGTTGTAACATTTCCCGATGTATTGAAAGATTATACATAATGTAATAATAAAACAGCATCTTCAATCCCAGTTTGCTGGTAGGGTCTCATCGTCACCAATTCTAACACCTTTCATAATGTTTTTCTTCTCTGTTTCAGCTATATTATCTTTGTAATGAACAAAGATATGATATAGCCTGTAACTCTATATATAATCCATAGATGATATTTTACATTCTCATGCCTTAAGAGAGGCCAAGTTCAAGCTGCAAAAATATTGCACAGATTTTTCTAAAAAGAAGAAATGCAGAGATCCTCAAGTGAAAAAGCAACACTTTCTTCCTCTACAGGCAGCAGTTTGCATTTAATTTAAATTCTCACCCTGCCTACTGAGGCATTAGGGAAAAAAAAAGCATGCAAAAGCTGATGGCAGCTTGCCATCAATATATAGCATAGCCTGGACCCGATGGAAACACTTTCTGAAATAAATCAGGTTTTGTCCTGATGAGAACTGCAATGGAAATAAGATAACAGAAGAGATGAGCATCATTTAGCAGCAGCTTTTGGAATCATTTTGATGTGACTATAAACAAAGTCTCATAAGCTAAGTACTATAAAACAGAATATTTCCTTATGCATTTTCTTGTCAATTTTGTATATATATAGAAAAATTATACAGTAAATAACTCCTAGCTGCCGCTAGAAAGACTTTCAATTTTCCTTGTCATACTCCATTTACCTGTTTTTCCATTAAAAACCGTCAGGTTTGAATTTTTAACACCAAAAATGCAGGAGACAGCACCTACAAGTCCAGTGAAGTTCAAGGTATTATCTCCTTTTGGATTTTCCAGCAGCAACACACCATCTAAAACCAAAATTAAGAAATTAAAATGCAGTTTGGAAGCAACATCCAAATTTCAATGATTTTCTAATACTTTTCTAATTACTTCCAGGGAGTTTCTAAGCTGTGTTCAAACTGGCAACACTGCATATTCCAGAATTTTTTTTAGTAA